GATTTAAGACCTCAAATTTTGTATGAAGCTTGGGCTCTGTGTTTGCTGCAGTGGGAAACTAACCGTCTGGACGTTCGTAAATCATCATCTCCAGTCGCTCTGAGTGTAGGAGAAGAGATTCGGCATGTTCGCTGGTTGATTTTTGGACTGGTTTAGATTGGCTGGTGCTGGTTTATTGTGAGAGAGAAACACTGTTGGCTGGCTGGTTTGGGCTGGCTGAAACCAATAAGCGAACAGGCTGATTGTGTACTGAATCAAAGGTGCCAAAGAGACAGACAACACAGGAAGAGAGGATGGCTCTGTTCGTTTCTCTTATAATTCGTATTTTTCAGCTTGTTTTTTTAGTCGGAACAGTGCTTTTCTCTTACAACAAATTAGTTGGAATAGTATTTCGACTTGTCTTGTTTTTTCAGCGAAGCGAACGAGACCGATGTATTTTCGCCCGGTGAACTGATATTAGTTCCCCCTATAAAATTTGGTAGTATCGTTGATCATGCTTCATGCCTCGGCTGTCGCCTCGTGTCTAGCTCGTTGCCTCACCGGCTGCTCATCAGCTTGCTTGAGATGAAATAAAACAAGCCTGGGCAAAATATAAAACAACCAAAAAAAAGGAACGGCCGCTCTCATTAGATTGTTTTTTTAAATGAAAAGCCCGGGCAAGAAATAAAACAACCAAAAAAGGGTGACGGCGCTCATTAGCTTGCTTGAAATAAAACAAGTTTAGACAGGAGATAAAATAACAGACTTGCTAGTGTCCGGACTTCCGGATGCTAGCGTCCAGACGCTGCCACGCAGAGAAAGCAAACGAGCACATAGCGCGTCGCGTTCACGAGGAAGCGCACCAGCAGTGGGCCCACGCCACCCTAGACGTCGTCCGTGTTGCTGGCCGTTTCCCACGCGTATCTCATGTGCAACACCCGATTTACTTTTGAAACATTCATATGCAACAGTTGCAACATACAAAAAGAAGACAAATGAAACACTTAAAACAAGTGTCTGAAACACTTACGAAAAACACCTGAAAAACATTTGAAAACTATTGCAAACATATGCAACGAAACACTCTCTAACATACGTATGAAACACTTGAAAACACTTAAAACATATCTTGCAACATGCATGTATATGCAACATCCAGATCTACTTTTACAACATCCAAATAAAACACTTGCAACATTCATCTGGAACAGATGAAACATTTGGGACGTACACTTGAAACATTCGTGTATAGCCATTACAACATGTGCAACATCCCGGTCTACTTTTGCAATATCAATATACAACACTTACAACATATCTCTGAAACATATGAAGCACTTGAAACATACTATTACAACATGTGCTTTCATCGTAACATCTGCTTGCGGCTTGGGCGAATGGAGGCTCGTCGATACGGAGCTCGATGCTGGTGCGGAGCTCGATGCCGTAGAGTGGCGCGGAGGTCGCCGGTGTGGAGTTCGGCGGCGGCATGAACCTCGGTAGGGGCAGAGGTAGATAGATGGAGCGCGTCCGCGATAGGAGGCGCGAGTCCAGGCGGGGGCACGTGGCACGGGCGGGCAGCAGGGACGCACGCGGGGCAGCGCGGCCGAGGGCGGGGTTTGTCCCGGAGCATTGGCACACAACGCACTGAGCGAGCAAGCGACGTTGGTGGAGGCGGCATGGGTGAGGCGCAAAGTGAGCGGGCGACTTATAAGGGGTCCGTCTGTATGAACAGACAACCTATAAGCAGCATTACCGGATAAACAACTAAAACAAGCAATGTTTATTTACACTCGTATTTACCTCGATTCATATGTATTAGCGTAGATTAAAATAAAAAATTAACTATTTTTTATATAAATTTATTTCGATACATGGGGATTGAGGTGAATATGTATCTAGCCAAATAAGCACATGGATGAAAAAGAAAAAGTCTGACAAAGGAATAAAACAACAAATAAAGGTGACGGCCCCTAATCAGCTTGGTTGAATGAAATAAAACAAGTCTTGGCAAGAAATAAACAACCAAAATAGGGGGAGATGAAAAACAAAATATCCAAGCACACGGATGAAAAACAAAAAAAGGTCTGACAGAAATAAAACAACAAAAAAGGTGATAACCCCTCATCAGCTTGCTTGAAATAAAACAGGGGACATGAAAACATATGAAAAAGGAAAAAGTCTGACAAAGAAATTAAACAACAAAAAAGGGTAACGGCACCTCATCAGCTTGCTTGAAATAAAACACATGAAAGGGGATATGTAAAAAAATGTTTGCTTGAAATAAAACACATGAAAGAGGACATAAAAAAAACACATGAAAGGGGACATATAAAAAATGGTTTGCTTGAAATAAAACACATGAAAGAGGACATAGAAAAATTGTCCGACCTGCCGGATTCGAACCAGCGACCTAAGGATTTGATCTGCAATGCACTACAGTCCTCCGCTCTACCAACTGAGCTAAGGTCGGTTTATGCATTTTATTCCATATCAGGTTTATTTAATCGCACTTATTGTTTCCTCATGTAGTTTGCACTGCTTTGAGCACGTGGGATGCCTGTTTTCCGGTCAAAATGACAAAGGAATCAAAGCTGCGATTACAAACATATCGAATGTGTCCGGGTTTGAGATGTGGTGTTGATGCCTGTATGATAGAGTGTTAGACATACTTAGCAGTTGTAGTTATCAGAAGTCGGAGTACTTGAGATCTCTGTGACCTTCTAGTGAAGACGGTGGCCTTCAGGCAACGACCCTCCTTATGTGATATGGAGCGTCACCGTATCGGTGTGCAAGAGATGAGGAGACCCCTCTTCCTCGGTGGAGAAGCTCTGTGGTGTACAGGGCGCCATGGTGATCGGATCAAGTAGAGGTTGTGAGATTTAGTGACTCACAACTACTTTGATTTGTGATGCAACATTGTGACCGATCGGGTGACAACGATGTTAATGGTGAGACTTTGTGATCCACAACACTGTCTTTGGTCGGGTATAGTCCAACACCTAGTAGATTGGAAGAGTCAGGTGGCATATGGGAGACTCCATTTGTCTCTGGTCGATTGAGCAAACATTGTTTTTGGAATATACTTGGTGTCCAGGAGCGCACCTTGTTGGAGCTCTAATATGGAGTACGTGTGCATGTGCTGTGCGGGTGGTTGTGTGTGTTTGGTGGTGGTGGTGGTGGTGGTGGTGGGGGGGGGGGGGGGGCATGTGTGTGCGTGCGCGTGTGTGAAAACTACTAATCTAGGATTGCATGCTATAGGGATTAACTTTGCAACTAAGGACAATATCTTAATGTGCCCTTTGCTACGCACATATTTAGCGTGATGGTCGTGAGGACTTGATGTTAGTGTAAATTTTTAGTCCTTAGGCAAGAACCACAAGTGGGGTGTGATAGATTTACATAGGTTAAAGTTTGTCACAAGTTAAATGTTTAGAGCCCCTTCCCTTCTTGGAGCCATTTGGACCTTACATCACCTGCAGTGAAGCGCGGGCATCAATGTCTAGTATTATAGTACAATGGCAGGGACACAATCCAGCAATAGCGTGAAATCACAACTTGAGTAAAGCCATGATGTGCAAAACAATTAGTGCTAAAAGAAACAACTTGAGTAACTTCATCACATGGGTTATATGAAATAATATATATAACCAACTATAAAAAAAACAGCCTGCAAGGCAAACACCACTCCATGGTATTGTTTGGGAGAAGAAATCTTAGCGTTCAACCGACTGAGAGAACCCCTCAAATCTTAACAGTACAAACCCTATAGCTACCTGCTTTAGTGCCTCGTCACTACCCAAGGTGTCACTATCCCAAGTACTCCCTCTGTTACAAATTAAGTCGTTTTGATTTTTTTGGTACATCTATTTTGCTATGCATCTAAATATAATAATATGTCTAGATGTTTAGATATATAACCAAATGGATGAATAAAAAAAGCCAAAACGACTTATAATTTGAAGCGGAGGGAGTAGGAACTTACCGCTCACACAGACCAATTACCATCATTGCAATGCACGAAGAGTTGAACTGGACGTTAGAGATGCTACTCGGGAGTCACAACCACTAAGCTATAAGCCCTTTCAGAACATATATATAATTAATTGTAGTCATACATTAAAAGCTCTTCACGTCTCAAGAATATTTTGGTTACAAATAACTAGTGCTTGTACTAGCCGGTAATGAGTCCCTTGTCACATGAAAGGAAACTTGGTGGACTCTAGGTCTAATCACTCTCCCTAGCAACATACAGAACGCGTGGCGCATGTAGAAATCACCCCACTGATGTGATGCGGAGGGGAGACGATATGCTCTTGGTAGCTCAAGATATTTCCGAATGGTGTGATTTTTATTTTATTTTTGAGATGGAAAGGATTTCCATTAATACATTCATCCAGACAAATCGCTGGACATTAGCAGGTTCACACACTCAGGCAAATGGTCCTGCCGCCACAGCATAGAACCACCTTTAGTGGGGTCCTGCATCACCTCGTTGTTCAAACATGCGCCAGGCATCCTGCATCTATGCAGGGTCGCACACTCGCACTGGACTGTGATTAGACCCAGGGTCCACCAAATTTTCAGGGCTACCTTGCAATTTACTTGAATACATAATATCTAGTGCTTGCTAATCCATGAAAGCTAAGACTGAATCTAGAACTCTTCCTCTGCTGTACGTATTTGTTAGGGCCAAATGAGAGAAAGTTCAGTCTATGTTAATAAATAGTCCACAAATTTTTAGCATCAGCCACAAAATCAGGATTAGCATGTCGCATTTGTAACACCTTAGGTATCGCTCAACCTTCACAGCTCTATAATCTACAAATACACTTAGAAAACGCTAATTATAAACCAGGGTATACATACGACCTGGATTTGTTAAAAGATGGCCGTGGCAGCGATTTGCACACGGAGTCACATACGAAGAGCTAAGATCTGACTATCTGAGAATCATCAGGAGGGATCATATGCATCCATACGATGTAATAGCATATGCTATCAAATCAAGCTCTGCCTCGTTACTTCCTCTCCCCGCCGTCCTGTGCAGTTTCCATTGCCCTTGATGAACCACTGCGAGTGAGCTGAGATGCCGCAGCAGTGGCTTTCTGTGCCTCAATGGCACTTTGCGAGGCGCTAGCACCACCCACTTCTTGGTGTGCAGGAGTGCAAGCTGCAGCTAGATCAGAAGGATTTTGTGCTGCTTCAGCGGGTTCAACTTGGGAGCTCTTTTCTTTAGATACAACTATAAGAAAAAAAAAACAAAGATATCAGGGTAAACCCAAAGGGTAGCTATGTTAAGCACACCTAGATGTCAGGGCCTGTCTGAAAAACCTTGGGAAGAAACAGTACTGTGTGACACTGGCTGCACAACTTGTGATGAAGCAGACGCAGCTGAGGTTCCTCTTTTACTTCTTAACTGCAACCACAAAAAAAGGGGAAATCTGACTATAAGGATGGAGAAAACGTCACATGGAGCAAACCACTCATCACAACCAATGCACATCATACCTTCATCTCGTCACAATACTTTACAACGGAGGATATATTGGAGTAACGACCATGAACCAGGGTATATACCCACAGAAGGAGCTTTCTTGGAATACTTAAGTCGAGAGTCTCAACTACAGCAGCGGTTTGCGGTAATCCTTCAATAGGCGCCTGCGATGGTGTTACTGTGTAGAGATTGATACCTGAGGGAAATGTTCCACAAGAGCTCTCCCGATAAAAGTTATAAGTGCTCTTCATTAACGTAACAGCAGTCTCCAAGTTATCTTCGGATGTTTGCTTCACCGGGATGTTTTTAATTCTGTTAAGTGTCTCAAACCAGTTCATGTCAAGGCCTTTGAATTGAGCAGGCCCATCAGGGGATGAGATAAGAAGCTCATCAGGTTGCAAGTCAACATAGAGTAGAAGCCCGTTGGATAATGGAGCAGGCTGAATGGTTGCATCTGTGGATTCAGGCAGTGGAGTGATTGAGGCCAGTTTGATGAGAATACACCGGCACCATGCCAGAGAAGCATGCTTGCATATCTTAGCAAAGTTGCTATTTGATAATTTCGGTGTCTTGAACCTCTTTCTTATCTTCTCGTTTAGTCCTTCTAGAACATCTAGTCGTACATCGCTTTCGAGCAAATGTATGTACTGGTGGATATAACTGCCACAAAGAAGTGCTATTTAAAAACTATGAAGCTTATGAACGATTTATGGCACTACGATCGAGTTATTTACCTGTAAAGATTGGTTTCTGATAATTCTGGACTGTTCACCTCTGGTATAGTGCTTATATCAGCCCACATGTTTGCATGATCTATGAATACAGTCAACATTTTCTCAAGTAGTTGCTCAACGGAAGCATCACCAGAAGCTCGACAAATCTCAGGATCATGAATTGCAGCCGTTAGAACTTGAAGGTACTTCCCAAGACCAGCAGGAACAATATCACCCAAACACAATGCAAACTACAGAAGATAAAGGAAAAAAAGGTTGTTTAATGTGCAGATAAAATATATAGCCTGGCATAGTTATTCTGTAGTTGGGAGGTACCCTCTTATCTGTTCTCAGATAGGTATAAGCCTTCTCAAGAGTCCACAGGTCCCTATTCTTCTCCAGCAGGTTTAAATAGAGTATCATATACTTCCTGATGCATGTGATGAATTTTCGTGAACTTTCTGACAAACTGACCTCCAGATTCTTTCTGGATCCACCCACATTTGGATTTTTCCTCCTAGATGCAACAAAAATTCCAGGAAAGTTATTAATCTTATACTATCTGCAGGCTGAAATGAATGACCTCCCAGAATACATATAGTAAAACTGTTTGAACTAAATACCCACCATTAGTTATTGTACATCAAAGAATTTAGAATTTTTTTTCTATGAGAACAACAGATTAACATCAAATGTACTTCTATATATCAATAAAAAATATTATATAAGACAGAGAAATTGAACTTTACCTTCCTTTTCTAACAGTGCCATCAATCTCCCACATGTTTATTGTAAAGGAAGACCGAGAAGATTTGAAACAGAATGAGAGCTCTTCCTTAGCCCGCTCCAGGTCCCCTGCTTCACCTCTCCTATACAATCCTTGTGCAAGCTTGTATCTCGCCTTGTGGAAATGCTTGAGTTCCCCTTCCACACAAGTACCAAGAGCATACAGACAATCATCATAAAGGATGTGCCACGCTTTATCCAGTATATCAGGCTCAACAAACTTAGTTTCCTCTTTAGTATCTAAAGCAGATGTTTCATCAGAAGAAGACTGCAAAACATTAGTCGTTGACCCCAACATGCTCAAGACATTTTCTTTTGTTGACTGGTTATATGTGTAGTCAGCAACAACCTATAAAGCAAACACTCAACAAAGTTAACAAAAATCGTCTGCTAAAGAACCATATCATAATGATACAAGACAGAAACAGTATAATTTTTTTTTTCTCAAATACGCAGGAGAGCTGGGTATCATTGCTAAAAAATATCAAACAACAGATGGGTTGATATGATTAAGGAAAACCTCAAAGCAATAGTCATAATCTATAAACAAGATGAAAAAGAGTAGCACTGGAGTTACCACCAAGGGCACAACTTCACGTAGGCTGACATGAGCCATGACCCCCCTTTACGATTCACAATTACTTTCATTTTTAATGAGTTGAAAAAAACAGATATCTCCTTTGCAATCTGATGCGTTTTGATGTGGTCATCAGTCATCACCATAATTAAATGATGCAGAACTGTGGCTCTCTGAGTAGGCTAAAAAAAGGTATTGCAACACAAATATCCTATGAAAGTTTAACCAAAGCTGAGTTATATTTTTACAATGGCACCAACACATGCCCATACTGACAGCTATCGTTAAACTCAAGGCATTTTTGAAAAAAAAAAAAAAATCTCACACTGCATCTTTCACTGTCAAGGAAGAAGAGAAGGCAAGCGATTGACATATTTTCCTTCTTCTCTGCCATAATATAACATGCCAAGTTCACGAAAAGCCAGGCCAGGTCAATTGTGGGCAGTAGGCCACAGCAACAACCTGATTCCTATGGAATCACAAATCATGGCTAGAGCATTGTACATAGTTTGGCCCAGCCTGCCTCAGGTTACCTGTTTTCTTCTTTGTTGCTGTTTTTTGTTCTGTTTCTGTGGTACAGTTGGTTCTTTTTGCTTTAATAAAATCCTAACAGTGGGGCCTTCCCCTGCTGTTTTTTCGGGTAAAAAAAAACAAATCATGGCTAGGAGCTAGGATATGGATGTTACTCAGGTCATCTCACCCAATGCTTCAAGCTAGACTTTTTTAGTGAGAATCAATCACAAGAACCAGATAAAGTTTCTAGATTGGCATGACAATTCAGCCCATCTAAAGATATGATTTGGTGTGGCCATGGCAGGGTGGCCATCTCACCCAATGCGTTTTACAAAAACCCTTTAAGTTTTCTCAACCCGCAAGACTTTTTTTTACAAAAACGTGAGAATTTCAAATCACAAGAACCAGATAAAAAAGACCTCCACTTTAGATCAACTCAAGCATCTCACCGAAAACATCCTCAGATTTTTCTCAAATCAAAATATAGCCCAACTTTGATTATATCTTTTTTTTTCTCCAAAAAATACGTGTGGCCAGTGGACCGCGCGCATGGGCGCGCCCGAAAAACTAGTTTGGTTATAAGTCCTCAAGGCTTTGGTAGTGAAACAATTCATTAAACAAGAGTAGACTGAAAACCACTCAATGAAGTAGCTCGCTTCAGTATTAATTTTTCAAGGAAAAATAACTCTAAAAAAACTGGTCAGATACATCTAGACAAACCTGTATAGCTTCAAGATTCTGTTTCCCTTGAGTGTAAAGTAACTTCAAGCGTGATGCATGAATCCTGTAAACAGGGTCGACTGCAGTTGGATTCAGCATCATGGCTTTGTTGTAGTATGAAAATGCCTTAGAAAAGGAATGCCCCAGTTTCTCACACAGTTTCCCAAGGTAAAACGCATGAAGCCACTGCTCCCTACAAGTAAAGAAGTACGATATCATCCCATGTCTGAAAAACAACAAACAACATGAAATCAGATTAGGAGTGTATGATTACTTGATTTCAAAAGCCTTCTCAAAGTGCTTCATAGAATTTTTACAAAATGTCTCCCATGATGAATCCTTCACTGGCAAAGTAGCTCTTTGATCATAAAAAGGTACCACATTTTGGAGGCTATCATAGTACACCAGAGCCAATAGTTCATGTGCTTCACTCTGGATGAGAATGAGTTTAGATGCCATCCAATCAATAAGCAATTTCAAGAATAATGAAAGGTAACTAATTCATTGGCTGGAAAAGGCAGCATGAATGCATGATACATAGAAGACTAGAGTAATTCACCTGGTCAGGAGCAGTTTTGGCCAGTAGTGAACTCATCAATAAGCAGCGTCGACTATGTCGACGACCCATCTCAACCCTTCTGATTAAATCTGTGTTTGTTCGCCAATCCAAGATGCTTATATGTTTACTACCATCATTCAGCAACAGATCAACTTCCTGTCATAAAAACACTGGTTATGCTACAGAATTGATTGATATAAGAAAACAGATCCAATTAATTGGTAGAGGTAAAAAGATACCACCTCGTCATAAAGATTGGAAAGCTTCTGCCAGCTTTCAAACCGCAATGGATTGTACAACAAATCATACTTGAAAATATTGGCACTCTGTTCAACGAATTCTTCTCCTTCCTTTTTCAAAACAAAACCTGCATGCTTGTCGGTGGCGCTAATATCTTCAGCTTGAGCTATGTAATAATATAAGTTTTCATAAACATCTGAGTAAGGCTCAGAGCTGCACCAAACAATGGAACATGTAGTTAGGTATACATACCAATAGTTTTGTGTCAAATCATAGAGAAGGGGTTCTAGGTGTAACACACAAGCCAACCTGACAGTGGAGAGCTTTTTGAATGCTTCGTAGCCCCTTTCACCTGGGAACAGTACATTCAGGATAGCTTCCCTAGATTCATTGCTTTCACAAATTTCAGAGAGTATTTTTTCACATGAGTCAGGTCCATCCAAGAAATTATCAATAGGGTTGTTGACAAATAAGTCATAGGGTGGCTGCGGAAAGTGTTTACGTATAGCCCGCAGCACTCTCCTTAATTTAACCAAGCCAGTTTTCTAAAACACAAATTAAGAATGGACAAGTTAGACAATATAGTTGATGCTTGGAGTCAATAGCTACTGAAAGTAGGAAACACAAAGGTTTATTAGAAATTACTCACAGATAGAGCTTTTGCATATGGCAGGACATATTGAAACACATCAGCACACTGTTCTTTGGTTTGATAATCACCACGGCTTGTATTTTTATGTACTGCAAGATCATCTTCACTGCAAGAATCCGGGTTGATCTTCAAACCATACAGGCAGAAAAAAGCCTGGTCCAAGGCACTATCAAGACATGACTGTATCTCATCCAATTCTGCATGAACAGAACATTTATCAGAGAGTAGATAAAAATTAAACGCTATAGAGTTCATTGCTGTACTTTCACTGCAAAACCAAGAATTAACAATATGATAATTCATAAGAGATATATCAAGACAGTATTATCTCAAGTTACACATTATTTTCACCACAAGATAAATACAAAACAGCTGTATATTATTAAAATGGTCTGTGCAAATCCAGTTTTACCCGATTCTTCCTCATCATCAGAGTTCTGCTTACTGTCACTAACCGATGGTTCATCGGCCATACTGTCTTCTTCTCTGACGTCTTTTGGAACTGCATCTTCTTCCATCCCATTTGAATCTAAACAAGACAGAAAAAACCCAACAAATGCTATTAATTGGCAAGGAAACATAAAGCATGTCTATCATGACACATTTTGGTAAGAAAAAATTCTCAAACAAGAGTTCGGTAAGAAAAACATACTAAGTTGAGATTTTAGTTTCACATCTAGAGCCATGAGATGTTTGATTGCGAACTTGAGGAACGTCCCTTCCTCCCCTTCACCATCCCTTCCAGCACAACAGAGCCCATACTCAGCAAGCAAATCATGGACTGCGACGATTAAGTCAACCTGCATTGGTGAATGAATGATTGAAGGTTCAATAGGAAAAGCAATACTCCCTCCATTTCTTTATATAAGGAGCAGAAATTTTAAGATTCAAACTATGTAATCTTCAACCCGTAATTAGCCTCATGATACAAAATTTGTTGTACGAGTGATATCACTGGATTATTATTTGAGAGTGCTATCTTAAGGTTATGATTTTGTTGCAACAAATATTGCAGTACAAAGTCTAATTTTGCGAGTGTTTTACTAAGGTCGGGTCGTTATTTACATGTATATTAGGTGATTAATTTTTGTGCTTTGCTGCAACCTTCTCTTATCTCCTAGGTGAGGTAAAGGTTGCTTTGTATGGGATTGTTTTCCCTTTTCTCTCTCTATAACATAAAGATGCATAGCTCTCCTGCAAGTTTGAGGAAAAAAAACAGAGCTCTGTAACTTTGCCCAATGTGAAGGTGGCATTGGAACATACCTGGGTTTTGATGGATATTGTAGGATCAAGGTGCTGGAGCTTGCAAAATGCAATTGCTGCATCTATGAGACAGGAACTTTCCAACTGGTCAACCTGATAGGAGGTTCCAGAGCATGAGAGTTTTCTCGATAGGATTATCTTGACAGCAGCACACATGATTGTCAGGAGCAATGATTGAATATCACCAACGATAGAAACTAGTGAGCTCCAGCCATCTTGCCCATCCTGAAGATATGTAATTATGTAAATCAATCTATGACTCTGGTAACAGTGTTAGAGAAACTGATACAGTGAAGAAAACTGATACAGGTGGAGTAGCAATATATGGAATTTCAGGTAATGCCTTTAATTAGAACATGGCAATGTCATGGAGCAAATCTCACAAGATGAAAGCACGAGCAGAGACATGGAGAATAGATATTACTCAAAAAACATAAAAAAAAAAGATTTCCTGGATACTGATTATGTTGGTTCGATCTTTTCTACAAGACAATGCAGTTTAACCAATTACATTACATGGAATAAGCAAGTGTATATATCTTTGTGTTTTTACCCCATCAGCAATCTACTCCATCCAGTAAAAAATGTAAGACAGTTTCCTTTTGCTTAATTTGCACGGTCTCCAAGATACAGGTTGTGGTGGATGCTTTTGTGGGGAAGGCATATACAATTATACACACAAGGAGGAGCAGGTGCACATGGCACCAGACATGACAGCAGAAGCCACGGCCTGATCCAATCCAAGTTATCCATTGCCTTCCTTAGTTTGTTAGTCATTTGGTTTGGACTCTTGTTTCTGTTTCCAGTTTGTTCAGCGCATTATAAAGAGCACAGAGTTTTCAATGAAGGCAAGGAAAGAATTATCGTATAAACTGTTAGATATAGATGTATATGTGTCTGTGTACTTTCCTCTTTGTGTAAGGGCTTCTATGCATATATGCCCATGTACATGTTTGGGCTGAATCCTACCGAATGGATAGAGTTCATTCTCTCCTAACATGGTATCCAGAGCGGTGTCTAGGTTTAGCTCGATGCCGTTGCAGGCGTCACCGGCATCGTTGCCACCGGCGAGTGCCCCTGCTCTGCTCCTCCCGTGCGTCGGCGCGCTCGTTCGCGCGCTCATCCGCCCGCCACCGCATCCATCCGCACGCCGTCGCGACCATGACTGGCTGGTGGTGCTGCCTAGCCAGAGTTGTGGCGCGGCACAGGCGGCCGTCAACGGGCGCGCGTCTTTCCTTCGCCGCTGCTTGTCGGTTCGGCACGGCCTCGGTGGACGCCGCAACTCCCCTAGCTGCCGCCTGCTGCCCCTCCCCACGCCGGGCGTGGCCCTCTGGTTGATTTCACCCCTGCTCTGCTTCGCTCGGGGAAGCCGGGCGCGGTCCTCAGCAAGGTTGGGGCGACATGGAGCAGAGGAGAGCTCCGTTTTTTTTTTTGCATTGGTTTGGTTGTCTCTTTGCACTCAAACTAGGATGGCTTCAAGTTCGGATCCTCAACCGATTCTTTGATCTGCATTCTCGATCTAGTGGGGTTGATTCCACGATGTCCAAAGATTTTCAATGGCACTAATTATCGTGTTTGGGTTTCTCGCATGAGTTGGCATATCGCGTGGTCTACGGCTTTGGGATTTTCTCACTAGTGAACTGCCGTGTCCACCTTTACCCACTCCTCCTCTGTGCAGCCAGTCTTTCCTCCCGCAACTTCAGATGATGATAAGAAGAAATTGCGTGATGAATATAATGATGATATGGCCTCCTACATGTCTCGGTTTACGACATATCGGACTTGGTTGGATGAGGATGCTCGTGCGAGTCTTTATTCTAACTGCTAGCATGGAGGAACATTTGATTGCCGATATTGTAGAGCTTGACTATGCTTCTCGGATGTGGGCTTTTCCTCGCAAGTGTTATGAGCCCTCCGGTCACCCACATACATTGCGGCTTTACGCCAAGAGCGATTGTTGCAACAGGTGATGCTACAATTGAGGAGTTCTTTAACCACTCTCTAGTGTGTGGCGTGAGCTTGACACTCTTAGTCCTCGATTGTCCCCTCGCCACTTGTGAGTCTGCGAGAAGCAACAGAGCCACCTTGAGCTTCGGCGCACCTACGATTTTCGACTTCGTCTTCATCTTTGAGTTTGAGCCTCTTCGTGCTCGATTACTAGCTCGTGAACCCCGTGTGTCCCTGATAGATGCTCTTGCTGCTGCTCGGAATGAAGAGATCTGCTTTTCGTTCTGCTGGCTTGCTTCTGCGGTCACCTTCCTCGTCGATCTTGTTGATCGCTCTGCACCACCTCCATCCATGACAACTTCTTGACGTCCCACGCCCTCCCTCTGCACCTTTCGTCGGTGTCCTCCTCTCGGGAGTGGTAGTCTTGGTGGACTTCACCGCAATTCTTGTGAAAAAGATGGACATGTTGAAGATTATTGTTATAAGAAGAAGAGGAAGCAGAAGGCTCATTCACGCCGAGGTGGTCGTTCCTCACAGGGTTCTGATCGTTCTACTGATGGACGCTCTTCGAGTAGCTTGGCTGGTTTTGAGACACAGGAGATACTCATGTTGCTTCGTCGGCTAGCTCCCTCTGTGCCTGCTGGAGCTGCTGGTTCTGTCACCCCAGTCTCTGCACCTTCGGTTTTCTGATGATGCCTCACAGTCTTCCACTGAGGAACCACAGTTCACTTCAAGTACTTTGCCATGGATTCTTGATTCTGGTGCTTCTTTTCACATGATCTCTGATTGTACCAGTCTTTCTTCCATTCGCCCTCTTTCTACTTCTATCACTGTCTAGACCGCCGATGGCTCACCTCTCCCTGTTCTTGGACATGGCACTCTTTTGTCATCCTCTTTTCATGTTCCTACTGTTTCATATGTCCCTAATTTGACCATGCAACTTATTTCCGCTGGCCAGCTCACTGGTCATGGTTGTCGTGTTATTTTTTATTCTGACTCTTGTCGTGTCCAGGATCTCAGCACGGGTCTCCTGGTTGGTACTGGCCCTCGTCGCCGAGATTCTCAGCGTCTTTGGGAACTTGACTGGCTTCGTCTTCCTTCCGCTGCCTCTGCCAGTCTTGTGGGCTCTGCTTCTCCTGCATCAGCTTCTTCATCTTTTGCTCAGTGGCATCATTGATTGGGACATTTATGTGGTTCCCGGTTATCCACTCTTGTTCGTCGTGGTCTTTTGGGAAATGTCTCTGGTGATGTTTCTTTAGATCAGTGTCAAGGTTGTAAGCTTGGCAAATAGCTCCAACTTCCATATCCCTCTAGTGGGTCAGTGTCACAGCGTCCCTTTGACCTTGTTCATTCTAATGTATGGGGTCCCGCACCCTTCGTTTCAAAAGGGGGTCATCAATATTATGTCATATTTATCGATGATTTCTCTCGCTTCACATGGGTGTATTTCATGAAACATCGTAATGAGGTGTTATCCATATATAAGATATTTGCTCAGATGATTCGTACTCAATTTGACACTCCTATTCGTGTTTTTCGTGCTGACTCTGCTAGGGAGTATCTCTCGGGCGCTTTTCGCCAATTTCTTTCTGAGCAGGGCACTCTTTCTCAGTTTTCTTGTCCTGGTGCGCACGCTCAGAATGGTGTTGCTGAGCGTAAGCATCGCCACCTTCTTGAAACTGCTCGTGCCCTTATGATTGCTTCCTCTATTCCACCTCATTTCTAGGCTGATGCGATATCTACTGTCACTTATTTAACTAACATTACGCCTTCATCTGGTCTTCAAGGCGGAATCCCATATGAGCGCCTCTGTGGCAAGCCACCAGATTACTCCAGTCTTCACCTTTTTGGTTGTCTTTGCTATCCTCCTTGCTCCTCGTGAACGCACTAAGCTAACATCTCAGTCTGTTGAGTGTGTTTTCCTGGGCTATAGTTCTGAACACAAGGGATATCATTGTTGGGACCCTGTTGCTCGTCGTATGTGGATTTCTCGGGACGTTACTTTTGACGAGTCTCGTCCGTTCTATCCTCGGCCTACCTCTGATGTTTCTTCCCAGGCCGTTGTTGAGCCTCTTTCCTTCTTGATTTTTCCCGATACACCTATCTCCATTGTGTTTCTTCCTCCTCCACCATCTCCTCTTGCACCCTCTCCTTTGCTGCCTTCTAAGCCGCCTTCACATGTTCCTTTTAGGTCCATTTATGATTCCAAACCCCCTGTGATTCACACCTACAGTCGTCGCCTCCAGAATCCCCCGCCTCCTGTTGAGTCGTCTCCTGATGTTTCACCTCCGGTTGAGACATCTTCGGTTGCGGATATTTCCTCTCAGCCATCCTCTCGTTATGATCTTCGTGATCGGCGGTCGCCGAAGCCTACAGACCAGTATGGTTTTGCTGGCACCGTTCTTTCTGAGCCGACCACATACCATGATGCCATTTGTCATCCAGAATGGCAACATGCCATGGCTAAGGAGATTGCTGCTCTAGAGTGCACTGGCACTTGGGATCTTATTCCTCTTCCTTCTCATGCTCGTCCCATCACGTGTAAGTGGGTTTATAAGATTAAGACTCGCTCCGATGGCTGTCTCGAGCGTTATAAGGCTCATCTTGTTGCTCGTGGTTTTCAACAGGAGCATGGTCGCGACTATGACGAGACCTTTGCTCTTGTGGCTCACATGACCACTATTCGCACTCTCCTTGCTGTGGCCTCTGTTCGTGCCTGGTCCATCTCTCAACTTCATGTCAAAAATGCCTTTCTTAATGGTGAACTCCATGAGGAGGTCTACATGTGACCACCTCCTGGGTATCTTGTTCCTGATGGCATTGTTTGTCGTCTTCGTCGCTCTCTTTATGGTCTGAAACAAGCTTCTCACGCTTGGTTTCAGCGCTTTTCCTCTGTGATCGCGGCTGTTGGTTTTTCTCCAAGTGCTCATGACCCTGCCTTGTTTGTTCATAATTCATCTCGTGGCCGCACTCTTCTTCTTTATGTTGATGATACGATCATCACTGGTGATGATTCTGAGTATATTGCATTTGTGAAGGCACGTCTTAGTGAGCAGTTTCTCATGTCCGATCTTGGCCCTCTTCGTTACTTTCTTGGGATTGAGGTCTCTTCCACCTCTGATGGCATTTATCTGTCCGAAGAAAAGTACATTCAAGATCTTGATCGTTCTTCCCTCACTGATCATCGCACTGTTGAGACTCCCATAGAGCTTAATCTTCATCTTCGCACAACTGATGGTGAACCTCTCACTGATCCCACTCGATATCGTCATATTGTTGAGAGTCTTGTCTATTTGGGTGTGACTCGTCCTGACATTTCATATGTTGTGCATATTCTTAGTCAGTTTGTTTCCGCTCCCACTCACCTCCACTATAGTCATCTTCTTCGTGTCTTGCGTTACCTTCGTGGGACCATTGCTCACCGTATGTTCTTCCCGCGCTCTAGCTCTTTTCAACTCCAAGCCTACTCTGATGCTACTTGGGCTAGCGACTCTTCTGATCGTCGCTCTCTTTCAGCCTATTGTGTTTTTCTCGGTGGTTCTCTCATTGCTTGGAAGACTAAGAAGCAGACTGCGGTTTCTCGTTCGAGTGCAGAGGCTGAGTTGCGAGCTATGGCTCTTGTGACAGCAGAGGTTACTTGGCTGCGCTGGCTACTTGAGGATTTTGGTGTTTCAGTTTCTGTGCCAACTCCTCTCTTGTCTGACAGTACCGGTGCTATCAGCATAGCTCGTGATCTGGTGAAGCATGGCCTCACCAAGCATATCGGTGTTGATGCGCCTTACACTCAGGCACAAGTGCAGGATGATATCATTACTCTTCGCTATGTGCCTTCAGAGCTTCAGTTGGTTGACTTCTTCACAAAGGCTGAGACAAGAGCTCAACATCGTTTCTTTCTCTCCAAACTCAGTTTTCGTGATCCACCCTGAGTTTGAGGGGGGGTGTTAGATATAGATGTATATGTGTTTGTGTACTTTCCTCTTTGTGTAAGGGCTTCTATGCATATATGCCCATGTACATGTTTGGGCTGAAGCCTACCGAATGGATAGAGTTCATTCTCTCCTAACATAAACCACTTAATCGGCAGTTCAGAGCCTCCTCGAGAGGGCGAATTCGCCTCGCCTCTTTGTTATCGTTCAGTTAGCTAGCCAATCCATATCACAGGTTCGTTCAACCACTAGTATTTACCATAATATGTTTACAAACACTAAAGGTTAACTAAGAATAGATTCTAAAAGAACTCTTTTTTACCAAGGCCAATCTAGATGTTCATAAATATATGAGTGGTCAAAGATACAAAAGTTGCTAAATGTGCCAAAGTTTTAAAGTCTGACTTTGTCACATCCACGGAAAATACTAATCAACCGCAAAAAAGAAGTTTCAATCTCATTCTATACTCATATATAATACATTTTTGCATGGGGCACACTGATACTGATATACTTATGAATTAACACAATAGTGATACTCAATACCTATTGTGCCAAGAATAAAAAGAGTTAAGAGGGCGATGAAGGAGGATCTGAGAAAAAAGGAATATCCAACTCACAGAATTATCACATTGATCAATTATGTCTTTTGCTTTACTGGCATTTCGAGACACATCTTTGACTGCTTCCACAACATTTTCTAGCCGGTTCCTGTTCATTGCTTCCACAAAGTCCACGTCGCTTGAACCTTTTGCTTTCAGGGGTGTAACAGATCCAACCATGCCAGCTGCCACAGTTAGAACTTGAATTTTTCTTCGATGGGAGTCAAGATATACCTGGATGTTCATTGGTTTTGCTTTTTCACATGCAGATATTAAGACATCCAAGGCAGACAACTCAAGTGAAATAACATTCTCGCTTTCTCTTTGTGGACCATACGCATATCCAACATAGGCATCTTTGGTGGAAAGCAAAAGTGGAGGTAGTAATTGCATGAACTCTGTATGAGTTATTTTGTTGATATTCTCGTCATTATTCCAAAGGAGTGATTCAAGCCTGATCAAGTTAATTTCACGAAGAATCCTATCAGTTGTCAGTGATTTTACAAGCTTGGTGTGAGGTAGAAGAATGAACTCTCCATAGCTTTTGGTTTCATTGCTATTTTTTAGTATTGACAGGGCAATATTGAACTCCTTATAAGCTTTCTCTTTGCAGTCTGATGAAAGGGACAGGCAACCACTCAGCCAGAAGAAGCGAATCCAGAACGCACAATTCATGTTTGAAGAAGAATCATGTTTGGACTTTTGATCACTAAGCACATCAACGTGACCAGATTTGTCAGATTTTTCATGACCTCTCTCATTTACATCACTTGAAGATTCACCTGCCCTACTACTTCCCATATCCAAGTTGGTGGAATGTATTTCTCCAACAGATGTGTCGAATGGCAGTTCCAGAGCTACTGATTCAATGATCTTACAAAGATGGTAAGATGAATCAGACAGCTCAGAAGATGTTGATGGGCTTCCAGAACACAAAGCATGATCATAGTACAGTTCAGCTAGAAATAAATTGCACAGTGCAGATCTGTCTTCAGCCCAGCCTCTAGTAAGTTTGTCCAGTTCAATGAACTTGACAAAATAATCTTGGAATGGCACTTTGAGATGAGACATCTCCTCAAGTAACATACAACCAATGTGATGAGGGCCAAAATTTTTGGATATCTTGCATAGAAATTGCTTAAAATCATTTGCCTCCTCATCGGATGTATAGTTGAGAGTATCAGGATTTGAAGCATCGGCATTTCCAGAAAAATCAGCCTTTTCTACAGGACTTGGTCCTTTTAGAATAAATGATTCAAGAAACTGGGTCATAGCATGTGATATATCTTTACCATCAGATCCATTTTCATCTTTTCCAGATTTGCGACTTCGCAGCCTCTCAAGGCGTGTGCTCCGTCTTTCATGAGGATGTTCCCTATCAGAATTAACATCTTTCTCTTTAACTGGAGTTTTGCAATCATGAAATGGCAGAATCTCACCGTCATGGTGTGAATCATTTCCATTTCCACCAGCAGATTCCACACTTTTGATTGTATCTGTAGATATGACAACATCAATCATGTTATAAGCAAGCCCCTTGCCACTACTCTCGCTGACTGAACACCTATCAACAGTATTTGTGCAATTATATTCACCAGCCTTCTCGTTGTTTGCACTTATGAAGCTTAGGATACCGTCTAAAAGGGCGAACCATTTTGCTTCATTCAATTGCAATGTAGCACTCTGTTTACTCTTCTTTGTCCCTATTTCTTGACAGATTTCATCATCTACAGATTTTCTTTTATTGGAAAAGATGAGTTTTGCATGCTTGGGTTCAAGTATGTCAATACCCCGAGGTGCAAAAGGTACCGGTTCAGCACATTCAATGGTCTTCTTCACATGTAAAGCACGATGATGTGATGGCCAACTCTTAAGTATTAAATTTGCTACAGAAAGGCATGCGACTTCATCACTTATTGCTATAAGCACCTCCAACAATTTCTCCATGCAGTTCCCTATAAAAGGCATAAGTAATAATTGTATAAAAAAAAAGGGCGTACCCAGTGCAGAGAGCTCCCGAAGAAACCAAAATAGGTATCACAAGTGCGATAGATGAACTGAATTTCAACTATAAATCTATAATAATGAGTAAAAAAGAGTATCATACAGTTGTTTGGGCTGCATACAAGCCCTTGCTCAAATGCCCATCTTGATACGCTCAGCAAACCCATTGAACAAGAAAGCGTTCCCAGATGATTCCAGACAACTGAATCATTTGAATCAAGCTCTACAGCTTGTAGGTAACAATGAAGAGCATTATCATAGAACTCCGGACCTTGTTGAAGGAAAACAGATGCAAGGTTTTTCAATGTCAAAAACCTGTGCAGTTGAAAAAAGTGTCAGCATTTTATCAGTAGAAGTTAATGTTATGTATGCTATATATCTTACTCAACAGCCGACACCAGCCAAGTGAGTAATTATATGTATTTGAACAATAGAATTAAAGCATTATTATTACAGGCACAGTAAGCTTATGATGCTGTTATGACATATATGGAACCATAGGTCAATAACTACAAGGAAAAGGGATATCTTTTCAAACAAACAAAAAAAAGAGGAAAAATACCCTAAAAATATCATACCAAAATCATCAGAAATTCATGAGGAAATAGGCACAAAATGAGCAGTTTCTTTCTTGTATAATAGTACAACATTGCCTTATTTTGCATTTGTAGTAGTGCAGTTTGTGCACCTAGGACATAGATATACAAATTATGATCACTTACAGGGCAAAATTGATCTTCCGAAGTCACTTATAGCAAGAAGGCTAGAATATCCGGTACCATAAAATTTAGAGGCACCAGAGTTTTATGCAATTAAATTGTTTTGTGGATGGTCTTCCGTTTTGTATGTTACATCAGTACTATGCCCAGCATTTAAGCCAACAACCAACTAGATACATCTTTACCATGAATAAAAAAGATATGAAAGAAGAACACCTTAGCTGCAGCAAATGCTGATCACTGCCAATGTTATCAACCTGTTGAGTAAACTAATCGCTGTTATGGATTTGATAATAAAACAACATATATAAAAAAGGTGACATTGCCTGAACGTTTGATATTAGTGGGTCTTTCAAAACATCCTCGAGAAGTTCACGAGCTTTTGCATAGTCTTTTTGTTGCAACTTGAGGAGTCCCTCGTGGTACTTCTGAGAGAGCGCAAATTCCTGACAGCACCAAAAGGAAATGTCAGTAACACAATGACATTGAGACAAGTATTTAGAGTGTTTGACACTGAACTCACTCTTGCCACAAGAAAAGAATTATCAGAATATACAAATCAGATGCTACTCGCTACACAGCATTTTCTTATATCAACCTACACTTATCTAGAAATAACCATTAATAACTTGCACAGTTGCACCCAACAGATCAATACATCATCCAACAAATTCATGAAAAAAGAACTGATGTGTCAAAAAAATCACTCAACAACAACAATATATACATGGATTCTCTTCTCATGTGATAGGTACTCCCAATAATTGATATAGTGCTCAACATTATTGCTGCTGTGGTTAGGTGCTGCTATGGGTATATCCCTACCTCACCCAGCCTGCAACAACAACAACAACAACAACAACAAAGCCTTTAAGTCCCAAACAAGTTGGGGTAGGTTAGAGTTAAAACCCAGCCCGCATTCAAAGAAAATTGAAATGCTCCGTTCTTCAAAAGCACTAACAAAATCAAGGGCAGAGTGCATATCATGTTTTGGAAATCAAAGACCACAAGTTCAGATTCCAATCCCCAGAAAACACCAGAAAAAATATTTTTTTGTTAACCAGACAACTGTGTTAAGTGAAACATCTTTTATGTGTCTTCCACATATACTCAGTGATGTTGCCACTCCTACACCACCCGTGTCTTCCAGCCCACCCAACACTCTTGTGTCTCCTCCTGATACTCCAGAAACTCCTTCACCTACTCATGTAGACCCTCCACCTTCCAGTGTCGATCCTCCACCATTAGATCTTCCTGAACCTCCATCTTGTCAACCACCTGTCCTCAAATACTACACTCGTCGTCCCCGAGTCCCCACACCCACTTCCTCGGCCAGTCATGATCCTCCCGATGTTGATACTTCTGTTAATACTGATGAGTCATGTGTTTTTTCTGGTGAGTCACAGGGTGGTCCGAGATATAATCTACGAGATCGTGCTACTATTGGGCCTGCTGACAAGTATGGTTTTCCTTGTGTCAATGCTGTTGTGGAAGAGCCAACCACTTATCGAGAGGCCTCTAGCATTCCAGAATGGCAACTTGCTATGTGTGAGGAACTTGCTGCACTTGATCGTACAGGCACTTGGGATCTTGTTCCATTACCATCGCATGCTGTGCCTATTACATCCAAGTGGGTCTTCAAAATTAAAACCAAGTCAGATGGTTCTATTGAGAGATATAAGGCTCGTCTAGTTGCCAGAGGTTTTCAGCAAACTCAAGGCAGAGATTATGATGAGACATTTGCACCTGTTGCTCATATGACTATTGTTTGTACTTTAATTGCAGTGGCTTCTTCTTCTTCTTGGACAATCCCTCAGATGGATGTTAAGAATGCCTTTCTTCATGGTGATTTAAATGAAGAAGTTTATATGCAACCACCCCCAGGTGTTAATGCCCCTCCAGGTTATGTTTGTCGTCTTCGTCGGGCCTTATATGGTCTTAAACAGGCTCCTCGTGCTTGGTTTGAGCGCTTTGTCTCTGTCATTCGATGGTTGTTGGCTGATTTTGGGATTTCTTGTGATGCTGCCACACCTCTTCTATGCGATAATACAGGAGCTATACATATTGCCAATGATCCTGTGAAGCATGAACTTACCAAGCATATTGGTGTCGATGCTTTCTTTACTCGGTCTCATTGTAATCAGCATACCATTGCTCTTCAGTATGTGCCATCCGAGCTGAAATTGGCCGACTTCACTAAAGCGCAAACTAGAGAGCAACATCGGCTTCACTTGCTCAAACTCAATGCTTCAGATCCTCCACTTCCGCCTTGAGTTTGAAGGAGGGTGTTAAGTGAAAGCCCGTCTACTACTGGCCCATATGGCCCATATGAGTGTCTATATAACTCTCCACTAATGGAGTGATGGCTTATCTTCTCAAATCCCCAAGGTTAGTAACAAACTGCTCACCTAATTAAACTATGAGTTCCTATTTTCCACCAATAATCCCCCCTAAAATAACAATAGTCACATGAGATCAATTGATTTTACAGAAGTTAAGATTTATGAACATAGAAATTAGGAGTACATTTGTTCATAAGAGATCTGATGTTCCCAACAAGAGTTTTTTGTTCACTACAAGCACAATTTTAGTCAGATCTGAGCACATTTGTTCCTAAGAGATCTGAGGTTCCCAACAAGAACTGTTCTGTCCACTGCAAGCACAATTTTAGTCAGATCGGAATACATTTGTTCCAAAGAGATCTGAGGTTCCCAACAAGAACTGTTTTGTGCACTGCGAGCACAATTTAGTCAGATTGGAATACATGTTCCTAAGAGATCTGAGGTTCCCAATCAGAACTGTTTTGTTCAATGCAAGCACATGATATATCCTTCAGATACCCCTCTCATCTGTGATAGTCTGTGTGAAACTCAAGGCTTGCACAAAATAGTGTTTCCACGCATGTATCTCCTTCCACATAGAGAAAAGTAGCACTTGGTATAAATGTCTAAATCACAAGGCTCCTACATTCATAGTTGGCTCATTCAAAATCTATATATATTAAAATACCAATTTTAAGGATACACAGCAGGGCAGAGATATAAGCAGGGGCAGATCCAGTGTGAGTGCTGGGGGTGCTCAAGCCCCCCCTGCCCCACTGGACTCCATGGAATGAAGAGAGAGGGAAGTGAAAAGAGTAAGGGAAGAAGAGGGAGAGAAAAAAGAAGAAGAGGGGGCTCGAGGAAGAAGAAGAGAGATGAGCACCCCCACCCCCCTTAACTTAAACTCTGCATCCGCCCCTGATAAGAAATTGGCCGTGGACACTGTGTTTGTGTGCAGTGTCATATCCCGCTCAAACTTCTTAGACCTTCCCAGCTCAAAAGTTCTTCGTCACAACCACTAATTTACTTTTGATGCATGGATATCTCTGACAGCATCACCTTTTATACTAACATATGCCTTGCAAAACAGACCTAAGCGTGCAGCGAGTGTTTTTATGAAAACAAATCCTGACCACACTACCATACATTTATCTGCATTTCACTCACAATAGAACTCATCATAAAGAATAGCATCTTAAATCTTAAAGACCTAACCACCTCTGCGCCCACCTACGTGACTACGTCTACCAAAACTGCATTTCAAACGATTAGTAAGAACTAAGAACTATAGAGTTCAATATCCAAAATCACCAGTGTTGGTCCAACATGCAGTACTGATAAATGGGCGGCGTTGTTCTTGATGTTGTGCCTAGGTGGAAAAGTCAACAGGTGGAGTGGCAAACAATGCACATGGAACTGCCATGCCAGCTTAAATGTGGATTTTAGTGTTGAGATTTTCTGGATTTTATCCAGCAGTACACCAAATAACAGGACGATTGTACTGCACAGCTCATGATCTCTCAACGGTGGCTTGACAGGGCAATAACGAAACAGTTCCGTCAGATGAAACACGATTGACCCAACACATTGCTTTCCACAAAATCAGAAGCCCTAACTCATCCCCACCCAGAAGCTGAAGAAACAAACCACTAAAATTTTCGGGCGATGGCAAGTTCGGAGCGATAAGAGAGAAGGGAGGAGGAGGATACCTACCTGAGCTTCTTTGGTGGGCGCGAGCGGCTCCCATTGGCCGCCGGAGTCGCTCTCGTTGATGGCCGCGATGGAGAACTGCGAGCGAGCGCGCGAGAGAGAAAGGGGTAAGACGAAAAGCAGCGACAAATTCGAACAAGGAGCAGGAGGTGTGCGGGGACGGAGTGTGAAAGTGTGGCACACCATGGTCGGCGGCGCAGCGGACAGAGCCGCGGGAGGATCGCCGGCAACGAGGGCTCCAGCAGCGGGGAGTGCTCGCCGCCGGAAAACCGTTTCTCCCAAATAATTACGGAATTACCACCGGATTTTTGTGTTCGTGCCGGACCCTAACAGGAAATCATCCTGTCCGAACGTTCGGACGGGAACCGCGCGCCGAACGGGGAGCGCGGGACGGAACCGCGCCAATCTTCGAGACCCCGAGAGCTCCGCCGGACGAACGATTGGCTGTCTAATTTTTTTATTTTATTTAATTGGGCCGCTTGTTATTTATTCACAATAATTGTCAGTTACATCCAAAGTGACGGTCATTTGCTGGCGGACATCCACTTTAGAGCATTTTGATAGAAGATATTTTGGTTCGGTGAAATTAGATCAAAATTAGGTCACAGAACACCACGGACCAGTTGCGGCCAGTTGAGGAGAGAGAACAATGGTGAAATGACATTCTTACTCCTGCCGCTTTCTTCTTCCTCTCTCCCTTTATCTTTTTTTATGTTTCCTGTCCCCGCCACCCTCTCCGCCTCCAACGCTGACTCCTCCTCCCGCTCTGCCGCCGCCGTTACCTCCTCGTACCTGACGGACACGTCCCTGGACTTGAGCGCCCGGGTGACGTATCTCTGTAGGACTTCCTCATCCTTGGCGAACTCGAGCTCGAGGTTGCCGAAGTCGGCGTTGGGTTTCGCCGCTGCGGCTGTGATGAAGCGGGCGACGGTGAGCTCAATGCCGAGGGTGCTCGCCCATGTGTAGGAGACGTCCAGCTCGGAGACCTGCGCCACGTCGTCGAGCAGGGCGCGCTCTGGAGCACGCGGACGTTGGTGTGGTGGTGTGGAAGCATGCCAGCACCCGCCGCTCGCTGTCAGCCTCGTCGTCGTCGTCGCGCTCCACGGTCCAGTGCTTGGACAACGACGCGCAGCGCCATGCCGGCTTGTACACCACAGTGACGGCTGGCGTGGTAATGAAGGTGGTGGTGAGCGCCATGAGCACCAGGATGGCGAACGCCTCGTTGTTGAGTATCTTATGGTCGCGACCGATGTTGAGCACGATGCCCACAGTCGCGCAGACGAACGACTCCTTGATGGGCTCGCCGGCCCGGGACAAGCGCGCCATGTAGACGAGCACCAACCGCACGAGGAAGGTGGCCGCCGCGACGAAGCCGACGCCGCAGAGGAGGACGTAGAATGAAACGAACGGCGAGCCGGAGCCTGAGAGCACGATGGCCAGGGCGAGCAGTATCCACGCGGTGACATCATTGACGGCCGCGACGGACATGGCCATGCAGCCCAGGTCGGTCGTTAGGAGCTTGAGTTCGGCGAGGATGCACGCGAGCACCGAGAATGCAGTGATGGAGAGCGCGACGCCCATGAAGACGATGAGCGGGTCGCGCGGCACGTTGGGCGTGATGGCGGCGCGTAACGTCAGCGAGGAGACGACGCCGAGCGCAAAGGGGGAGAGATGCCGGCCACGGCGATGGTGAGCACACGCGCGCTGCCCGTGCGGCGAAGCGAGGCTGGGTCTAGCTCCAGGCCGATGAGGGAGAGGAATAGGAGCATGCCGATGTTAGCCAGCGTGTCGAGCACGATGAGGCTCTCCATCGGGAAGACGTGGTTGAGGGAGGCCTTGTTCTGGCCAAGCGTCGACGGGCCGAGGAGGATGCCGCCTGTAACACCTCGGTGTTAAGCGTGCATTACCATTTCATCCCATGAGCATAATCATCATCACCTCATGCATAAGCATCATGCATGCATTTCATTTCGAAAGAAATGAAGTATCATTTCATGTGGTGCTTAAGTTGATTGAAATTCATTATGTTTAAAACAATGTGAAATGTCATGCTCATGTTTGGATGCCATGAAGTCTTGTTTTGATCACTAGGATAGCTTATAAATATTTAGGATACAATTTGGAGCAAAGTTTATATTTGAATTTTTGCCAAATTTTGCTTTTAAAAATAATTATTCAAGATTTGGGGTTTTGAATTAATATTGAGTTTAATTTGGTAATTCAAAATCTATTTGGAATTTAACTTTGGTCATAAAAGCAAAGTTGTAGATCTTGAAAAATGGAACAACTTTCATTTTACATCAACTTTTGAAACTACTTTGAAATAGTTCAAAATTTCGTTTGAATAAAAAAGGAATTGAAAATAATTTGAAAAATCTCATTTTTCACCTTCTTGGGCATTGCCGCCTCCTTTTCGCCCACCCGCCCACAGCCGCCCTGCCTCCTTCATTCGTCAGCCGTCCATTTCGCCCACTTTACCTTGACCGGCGACGGGCGTTAGCGCCAGACGCCACGTAATCGCCATGCTCCGACGAAGCACGCCACATGGCAACACCGCCTGCCGTCCCGACCAGTGCCACGCAGCCTTCAAGGCTCGGCCGACCTCACCCTAGCGCCCTTTTCGCCCCTCCATTTCGCTCTCTCTCTCACCGCAGCAAAGCAGCGGCCAAGCAGCATAGCCACTCACTCCATCGTGCTATCGCATCGGCAGGCGTAGCTGCGTTCAACCACGCCGACCACCGTAGCCCGCCACGTCTTAGCCTTCGCCTCCTCCACTCGCGCAAAACCAGTGCTTTCGCGCCGATTCATTGTGGTAAGTCTTCTTCGGCCGGGAATTCCTAGCCGAAGTGAGCTCCTCCTCGCCGGAGCTTGGCTCCGCGCGGATAGCCCCGCTCCGTTTCCTCTCCCGCCTTCCTTCCTCGCGCGCGAGCACCGCACTGCGTCGCCGAGTATCTCGAGCACCTCCTCTCACCGTGCCATGGCTGGGGATGCTTCACCGACGATGACCCGCGCCGCCGCTCCGCCATGCACAGCAGCAGCCGGCTTCTCGTGCTCTTTGGCCCATGCCACGAGCACCGCTGGGTTCGCACAAGTGTGGGGATCACGCCGGTCACCTTCACCGGACCGAAGACCTCACCGTCGATGAGCTCTCGCCATCGGTGATCTCCTCTGTTTTGGTTCGGCTGATGGGTGAGGTCCCGCTGAACCCCGAGCCTGTTTGTCAGTCCCTGTGTGTGTACACGCGTGTTTAAATCCGGGTGCACCCAGCGTTTTCATCGGCTGGTTTTCAAAAGGATTTCAAAAATGATTTCAAAAATGTATTAAATAGCTTGTAAAATGTATATCTCAAGTTATCTTGCTCCAAAATTTATGAATCAAATTTTATTGTGTTCTTTGTCACTAGATCTACATGATAAAAATATTGCATGTCATTTTTGAGATACTTTAATGTAGAGCTTTATTTAATTCTTGATATTGCTGATATCTTGTAAATTGTTTAGTAAATCCTATATGTATCAGAAAAATATGATTCTAAGTTTGTTAATCTTCTTGTGTAATATACTTTCTGTGAAAAATATATGACATGCATGTCCTGTAGAAAAATTATGAGGTGTAGTTCAAGTGCCTTTAATGGCTGATTTTTGTTATTTTTGCTAGAGAGCAAAATTTGTATAAAACATACATATGATAATTTTTGTACAGTGATTGTATGCTATGAAGATCATGGGAAAAATACTATATCTATTGTTTGACACTTTTCATAATACAAAGTATTTTCATGCTCATCTTTAGGTCCAAGCTTGTCATTTTTGTGTAGGCTATTCCACTTATCCAAATGCCATAAAAATTTGATGGTAGACTACCTAGGGTAGTACTATACTATGGTAATTTTCTAAGATTTTTCTATGCTATAAAAATAGATGTTGCTATTCAAACATATTATTAATTAGGGTTTAATCAAATGTTGCTTTATGCATGATTAAGAAATTAGTGAAGCTTTGGTGTATCTTTGAAGCATTCAATGAGATGTGTTGACTTAGCATATTAGTAGTAGAAGAGAATGCAGTAGATGACATATGCTTATAGTACATGTTCTTGGATGATGTTGATTACCTTGCATGCAAGCACATTCATTGTGTTCATTTCATCTGATGCACCTTTTGTATAAGCACTTACGCACCTGCATCATACAGGATCACAAACCGAGAGCCCGGTCGTCATATCCGAGGAGCCCGAGGAGCAGCTCAAGGTGCAGCCGCAAGAGGTGATCGAAGCAGACGAGGAGGATGTTGAGGAACTTCCGGAGTGCCCCGATCATCACCCAAGCTCCTTCGAGAGAGGCAAGCCTCGGAGAATTTTGTCCCTGGTTTGCGATTATTAATTAATGCTTTACTTTAATTGATGCATTATGTTCAGGAGTTGTTTGCAACCGTTGCTGCATTATACCTTGTCTACCTTTGTTGTACTATATCCTTGTTACCCTGGTATCCGCAGTCGAGTCAATGCTTAGCTGGCTTAGACCGGTAGAAGTCGGGTGATTTCCTATCACCTGCGAGCTATAGGTGGTTACCTGGATCTGCTTGGATAACTATGTAGTCATGGTATAACTAAGTGTTAATTTGAAGTTGAGACCAGACGAAGACTTATAGAGTTTTGGACTGTAGTGCTTTCCGTCTATGTCGATTAAGGACTAACCGTTGTTGGGCCTCGAGTCATGTTGAACGCATGCCTTATATTTAGCTGGCCAAATAAAGCATCTTTCGATCGTGAAGCTGGGAGATTATTCGGGCCGAGTAGATTGCCCGCAGCGCACTGTACCGGAGCAGGTGTGGTAGGACACGGGGGCGCGATGATAAGACCGAAAGGCAGTCGGTCAGTCCCCGGGTACATGTGGTTCCTAGCAAACTCAAGATTTTTCCTAGATAGTTGACTCGGTGACCGATACATCATTTTAGCGGGTGAGTGAGGTTTGTATAAGGAATAAATTACTAGCTGGTTAATAATCGATTCGAATCACCATCGTTCACTGGATAGTGAACACTTGACTTGAGTTACTTCACCGTAGTAATGTTGATGGAACACTTGGACAGTTATAATGAATATGACATTATGAAAGTTGTTAATGATCATTGGTTATCATTATTTACTTAATCACATGCTTGCTCTAGTATAGGTGCAAATGTAGTCGATAGGTTAATAATAATTAACTTAACAATAATGCTTTTGGAAAGGTTCTTGAAATACTAAAAATGCCTCTTTTTGTAAATGAGTTAGCTACCCTACTATAAAGCCCTTCATAATCCTTGGTGTCACTTTATTTTCGGTTATGTCGGGTAAGTCTAGCTGAGTACCTTCTCGTACTCAGGGTTTTATTCCCACTTGTTGCAGATGGGCAGATGTATTACGGCTACTGTATCAACTGCCTTTATCCTGCGATGGGTGATGCTTAGGACCATGGGCATGGTCATTCCTTAAGTCTCGTCTAATGCTTTTGTTGGAGATGATCATTAGCTGGCACTGTATTTGAACTCCGTGTGAGTGTGTGTGGTTTTGAACAAATGCCTTCCGCTACTTCTATTTGAACTCGTTTTGTAATAACTATGTTTAAACTCTGATGTACCTGTGATGCGAACTTTTATGTAATATGTGATGGTGACCGCTAAACTTATTACGATCTTGGCTAAACTTTTATGTAATCATTTGAAATCCTTCATGATTTCACGGACTACCGGGTTATACGGGCTTAAGTTTGCTAAATCGTCTGCTCTGACAGGTGATTTCCTTATTTAATTTCGTATAATTGGTCGGTTCCGTTACACCGCCCTGCATGCATTGCCATCAATCGATTGCACCTCTGAAGCGAGCGCACTGCAATTTTATCCAGCACTTGACGCATGAGGCGGGCGTCGGAGGCGCAGCCGCCCGCGACGGTGTGATGCGCGACTAAGGATGGCAGCGGATCGGGCTCGGGGCAGATATCCGCGGTTTTCGGTTTCAGGGCCTAATTTTCGCCCACGGTTTTTCGGGTTTGGATACCCGAAATGCTGCGGTTTTGGTGCGGATCTTTAATTCCACCCGCAGAGCTCCATCAGGCCCCGAAAGATTCGGCCCACTAGTAGCCCAACTAGCAACCCTAGGTATATAAGATCCCTCAACCCTCTCCCACACCCACCCATTGCCGCACGCCGCACCCAACCACGCACCTCTCTGCTTCTCTCTCTCTCTCGGTCCTTAGGCCAGCGCTTGCAACTCGTCCTCAGGCCCTCGTGTTTGCGACCTCGCCTAGTGCCCAGTCACAGCAAGCAGAGGAGCAGCTTTCGGCGCCACCACCTGCACCCACCAGTCAAAGCAAGCAAAGGAGCAAGGATCGGCACAGGTGCCACCCCATGCTTCCAGCAGGCGATGGCGCGGCGCCCCTAGCCCCTAGCCCCTAGGCTGCAGAAGTGACCTTCTCAAGTATTGGGACCTTGACCTTAGTCCTTAATGGAAAGCACTAAATGACGGAAGTCAAACATTTGTGGGGTTGAAAGACTCCGGAAGTCCTTACGTTCAGGTGGCTTGCGATCGCCGGTGACCTACAA